CCGGGGGGGAGTGAGCGAGCGGCTGTGTGGGGCTTAGTTGCTGGCTGGGGTTAAACCACAACATCTAGTAGTGTTGCTGCTACTTATTGCCAAGGAACCTGCACTGTGCAATTATGGCTGTAAGAGGAACAACTTGCCTTTTTATTTCATAAAGGAAAGATAAGATATAATATAGGTGAAATGTATTCACTTAGCCAAACTCTCTGGTGATTTACAAAGCCTATATTAGGGAAGAAAAATAATAAGTTACCTGAAGTGACCCACGTTCATTTGCACATCCCACATTTTATCTGAATCAGTGCAATCAGTATACATTAGGGACAAATCAATGTGTAAGCAATGCAGACAATATTCTTCCTGATACTACTCATTCCATGAGGAATGTTTTGTGTTGCCAGGTGCCAAAGACTGAAAAGGCACCGGGAACAAGTGGTGTGCAGAATGTCTTTTTAAAAGGAGCGAGGGAAAAATCTATCCTCTTACGCTTTTGTGTAGTAAGGACTTTATTAACTAACAATGGTATGTGCTATTAGTAAAAATAAATCCTTTTATCAGTAATGCAAAACAGAAAACATGTCCTGTTTCTACTTGCAGAGAAAATACTTATTCATTCCATGCTGATAAATTATTTATATTTTACCATGGAGACTTATTTTATGCTTCAAATAAGTTTTAAAAAAGCAGTCAAAAGAAAACACTAACTTTAAAGGGCAAGAATTTAATCACTGAGGCTAGCTAAGAGTCTCGTGGCAATTGTACCAAGTCAGAAAAATGTCTAAGATTAAAAATTTAATTAATTTGCTTAATGGTTCTTTGTGGTATAATGAAAAAAAAAAAGCCTGAAAGATGATATTACTGGACTAATCTAAGTGGTTCATCTGGAGTTCCAAAATCTCATGTATTTCATGAGGAAGGCTTAATTACCAGGTCTTGCTTGAAAGGGTCTTTACCATATATGGGTAGGAGAGATTGACTGCTGGTAGTCTTTTTTTAAGCTTTATTATTTGTACAGTGATCACACAAAGTTTCTTGATTCTACAACCCATATACCAAAATCTTCATATTGTCCCCTTGTTTTTCTCAGTGAGGAGAGGGATTTCCCAGGTTCATTCCCAAGGAGGAGATGGTGATAACTTCTCATGGCTCCTCCCCTTGCTCAGTTTGAGGACAGAGCCATGTGGGATGTTAATGGGCCCCATGGGGACTCCATCATTTCAGTTCCTGTGGGAACTCTCCTCTTCCCACAGCTGGGGATTACTCAGTAGCTTGGTTAATGACACAGCCGTAGCATGGGAGCTGCACCCAAGCTCTGTTCAAGTCACTTGTGACTCAAGAGCTGCAACTTGGCCAGTCCATCATTGAATTAGTCTCCGTAAAAATAGGTGTTGCACAGTTACAAAGAGGAAATATGCCCCCTTGCTCAAAGAATCTAAATACAGTCCTGTGCTTATTTCTTTCCATACTGGCATGGGTGTTTTGAAGATAATCTCCAAGTGCCAGATCAATTTTGTTCACACATTCTGATACAACATGCACAAGTCATGCATTTCATTGTGAAATCTGTGCTGTGATGCCATGGGACTCAGTGCAGTCAACACGAGGTGTGATATCTCACAAGTTACAGCATAACTCATGCCTCAACCGAGCTGAACAAAAGATCTACTGTTAATGTGTGATGCTACAAAGATAACAGGACTTAATCAAAGTGTTGGATTCTGACAACCATTTGTATATTGTTACATTTATAATGACCTGGGACTCTGATTCAAACTTTGTGTCTGTCTTGAAAACAGAAAGCTTTTACAGAAATATCCATACTTACAGGACAGCAATCTTTAAAACTTTATTCCACAGATACTTCTAATTGATTTTCCATTTCTGCGGTTAGAACTGGTGCTGTATGTCTACTGGTCCTGTAGACATGAAGGAAAATATTACAATTTTACAGTATTACAATATTACAATTGTAATTGTACATTGTATTTACAATGTTACAATATTACAATTGTAACACAATGTGAATTGAAAATAAACACTAAGAAGTATTTTCAATTTCCATTTCCATTCCATTGTTACAATGTGAATTGTTACATTGTGTTACAGTGTGAATTGTTACATTCTTCATTGCATTCATTGGGGATATTCCTGATACAAATATGCAAAAATAAGGACAGTCAGTCTGCTTTGTGCTCTGGCATGGCAGAACTACTTCAGTACCTTTGTAGAGTACTTTTTCATTATAACATCTCAACTTAAGGCAGCAATAAAATTAAGGATGAACAAGCATTTTCATGACTGTACTGTGATTTAGAGAAGCTTTGTGAGCTCAGGTTGTAACAGCCAGCAAAGCTTTGCATTTTCAAAGGTGGACAGTTATTTAGAGTGTTCCTTATATTTTTAAAATTCAAACTGGGTAATCAAGCCTGAAGCCACCCAGAATGGATGGCAGCATAGAAAGGTAGAGCTCTGGCTGGAAAAGAAGAAAGAAATAGCAGCTTTTCCAAATTTGGCACTGAGATGCTTTCACTGGAGTTCTAGTAGACTTTTGCTGGAGTCTGCCAGTATCACACAAGAAACAGTTGCTAAGTATTATGTTATCTGCCCCTTTGTGTTCAGTCCACAGAGGACATGGAGTCTATCAGTCTCTTGAAAAGAAGTCAGACTCAAGCTGGAGGGACTTATGCTCCCAGTTTGGAAAGCCCCAGAACAAATCCAGTGAGTGGTCCAGATGGACACCATCCCATTTCCCTAGCAATGAGTGCACTGTGGGCACTCATCAAACACTTTTTGATAAAATAGGCATAAACCAAGTTTCACGTGAGAGAGAGTATCCTTATGGAAACACTGGCTTCGCCTGCAGTAGTTCTGCAGCTCCCCTCCTGATGTAGTGCGAGCACTGGGTGCAGGGACACACTTGTTAAGTAACGGTAATAAAAGACACATTGGAACCTGTGTGACCTTCATGAGGAGCTCCCACTTCCCACCATTTTTCTACTCTCCGACACGTGGTAGGAGCCTCTGAAGGGCTGTTTCTTCTCTCAGGTGTGGTGTTGGTCTGAGAGTGATGCAGTGTGGGAGGCCTCATGACCTTCAGCTTCTTTTCTAGATAGAAATTATGACTGGAGAATAAAACGTTTCACATGCTTTAATTGGCTTTCTCTGCAGCCCTTTATTATTTCAAAGGGAGGCAATCACTTATCTTGCCTAACCTTAAAACCTGCTTGGTCGGGGAGCTGCAGGTCAGGGAACCACCAGGGGTTGGGGAGCTGGGGGACAGCCAGAGGAATAGAAGTGCTGTGTGGCATGATAAACAGTGAAAGCAGATTAAAACCCACATGGAAAAAAGCCAGTTTTCATTCATTCTGTGCTGTCACTGAACCCACCGAAAACCTCATTGGTGTGACTTGTCTTTGGAAGGACAGCTGCAAATGCTGTAGCCTGATGTAGAGTGTGTGTAACTAGGTTCTTGGCAATGGCTGAAAGGTGTGTTTCAAGGCCTTTCAGGATGTTGCAGTCTTGTTTGATGTGAACTTGAGGACTCATTACGTCTTTAGATGGGAGGAGGCAACTAGTTTTCTCCAGTACATTTGACTGGGAGGGCATATGTGTGTGGCCCACTGCTAATGCACTTATAAAAGCACATCTGCACAAACGCAGTGATTCATTCTAGTGCAAAACTGCACAAGGATACATAGTGAACATACTTAAGGCAAAGGCATAGTTGTCCTATGAAAGTGTAAAGAGTTATTGTAAATGCCTGGTAATTCATTTCCCACAAAAGACAGTAATGGCTCAAAGGAGGCCTCACAGGCTATAAGGTAAACAAACTGAGTGTTAATAGCCCCCAGGTAGGCCTGCAGAGCACCACTCGGTATTTTTCAGAAAAGGTTCCATATGGCTGTCACCACTTAATAGTCCCTGACAGCAGGAAGAGTATTTGCTCTGAAACACCTTGGACTATGAACGTGGAAGATTTTTTTTTTGGTGTTTTAAACAAAACTTTCTGTTTTAAAGGATATTTTCTTTCCTTCAATTTAAAAGTCTTTCAAAGACCAAGAAAATACAACCTTGTAGGAAAAGAAAACGCTCAAACTAGGACAAAGCATAGACCATAAAATATTTTTAGCGACCCAGCATGTTTCAGGTTAAGATGTGAGTGCAAAATAATGGAGAAAGTATATCAATGTGCTGTTCATCAAATATTCAGAGTCCAAGGTCGTGTACTTTTCAGTATGTACGGGGCCAGAGTTTGATCTGCTCCTGTGTAAAACCTCCTTCCTCCTTATACAGCTAGCACAAGGGCACAGAGTCACAGCAGTCCCTGGTTGCTTCCTCTTAAGGAAGCAAATCCCCAGAAAGGTGCCGTGATCTCTACCTCAGCCTGTGTACATGGATGGTCCATTCTGTTGAGCAACCGGCACGAGGAACGCTCTTGCTATGAAGTGAATGGGTCCCAGAGCATCCTTAACCAGGAAGCATTTGAGGTTGGCCAGCCTAGGAATTACTGAAAACACAGCAGGCCTCCTACCCCATGCGAAGCACAGTTTTTAATTTTACTCCACAATTTGCCTGTGTTTCTGCTGTTTCAGGGATACCAATATCAATGTCACATAAAAGGACACTTACTTGACTAGCAAGTCACAGCGGACCAAATTGTTTGCCAGCATCATTCTGCTGCAGTCAATGGAGTTTTCTTGGGGATGGATTAGGTAATAAAACAGAACCACCCAGCTTGACTGTGCAACATGAGTGTGCCTACTTTGCTTGGATGTTGGTTTTAAAATAACTTAAAAGTGCTCCATTATCTTACAAAAGTGCACGGGCCAGTTCTTGTCACTTAGTGCGTAGGAAACTTATAGGAAGAAACTTGCAGGGAAACTTGCTACTTCCTTGTAGCTTGTAATCAAATTCTGCAGAAGCAGCACAGCCAATGCCTCTAATGTGCATTGCTGGTCAAAGGCCATAAGCTGTCCCAGTAAAAAGGAGTTTTGGCTTGTACACTACTGTAGGTAACCACACTCACTTCTGCTTCTGCTGCATGCTGTAATGAGGTAATGAAGAGAGAAGCCTGCAAAAACCAGTGGATTACAAAGAACGGGGTTGCAGGTTTCCTTGTGTAGCTTCTGTGGCCTGTTTACAATTAGCTCTCCTGCTTTTCTAGAGTGTCTGAGTTTACACAAAATGGGGAGCAGGTACCTCACATGCAGGGAGGCTAAAGGGAGAGTGGTGGGGTCAAACAATGCGCCTCACAGCCCTATAAAGATAACTGAGAAATCGTCACAGAATTATTCTCAGGCTTCTGATATGGTCTAGTTATCAATGCAAATGTGAGAGGTGTAACTTTTTCCTTTTCTGCTTTTGAAGAATTTACATTTACACTTTAAATTACCTTAATCTAAAATCTCAGTGGTTTGATCAAATTTAAGTGTCTTGCTGTTGCCATCAAGTGGCAAAATGTTGGATTGCAGAACTCCAGCAGCATCCAAATTCGTTCAATCTGATATCTCTTGAACAGCAGCAGTGAGAAAAATAATCCTTGCCAAGCTTCCTCCAAAAATACATCTGTATATATATATACACACCCAAAAAATAGACTGAAATACACGATGTCATGGTTACTTCAGTTACTTCAGTTTAATTTGGATTCTAACTAGTAGGCTAATAATTTTGAGTATTACGAGTTGATAAATACGGACAACCTGTAAAGCACACTAAGACACCCTTGTGAAGAGATACTAAACTGAAGGGGTATAATGCCATACTCTGAATTTCCTTCCCAACTGTGTTTGCTCTCCTTTGTTACTAGCTAATCCCTTTTTAGAGAACATGGTCCTTCAGATTTCATATCATATCTGCACTTCATATCATATGTGCATAATCTCACCAGAGTGGAATGAATATTCAGTTTGCTGTTATATTCACTAAATTCACAATCTGCTTAACGCACAGTTTAAACTTACAGTTCATAATTTATACACATATCACTTTTTTTCAGCTGGGTGACATCACAGTACTGCTCAGTGGGAAAGCCTCTGTGCAAAGAGAAAGCATAAATGTAGACAGCTTATGCTCTATTTGCTTATAAAAATCCAAATCAATTGATATGTTTTTGTCTTGATTTCTCAGATAAGCCTTAATATCAAAACTCATAGATGTTGCTAGTGTGGAAATAGAATCATAGAATCATAGAATAGTTTGGGTTGGAAGGGACCTCTAAAGGTCATCTAGTCCAACCCCCCTGCCGTGGACAGGGACATCTTCAACTAGATCAGGTTGCTCAGAGCCCCGTCCAACCTGACCTGGAATGTTTCCAGGGATGGGGCATCCACCAC